GCTGGTGTACTAGATGCAGTTTCAAGCATAAAAATCTAACAAACTCACGACGCTAATGGAAATTTTTTGGGTCCACAGAAGAAAAATAGATGGACCTAAATAAATATTTAAAGAGAATACAGCTGAGCATATGGTTTGCTTAGAAGTGGTTGAACTGCTCTGTACTCACTGGTATAATAGAGTACAACTCAGAGAATTCACAAAGCAGACTTGTCTCTTTTGTCCCTCATTAAAGCATCTGAGATCTGTCCATCTCTGAATGGCAGGCACCCCCAAGAGACTTCACTTGTGGGGGAAGATTTTCAGCTATGAAAAATTTATAACAGAATTAACAAATATAACAATATTCACCAACGCCGATTGACACAAATGACTTAATTAAGTTGTACAGGATATGTTCGAAAATATTTACTTATATATGCTCACGGTCCAGAATAAATTAGTTAAATAAAAGGAATTAACAAATATAAAATTGGGCAAACAAAATAAATGAACACTCACTAGTCACTACTTGTGTTCCACTCTATAGAATGTAGTGTGAGATACCTTCCTTAAGGTTTGTGCTAGTTTTAATTTAACCATTTGAAATGCTAGCTATCCGTGATCAAAAAAGATTCAAAAGTCCTAGAAGCACTGTCGGTGGCAGATGGTTGAGAAGAGGTTCACATGTGATTTAGTGTTTAGACAGAGCTTAGTTTTGCTAAGCTCTTCCACAAACTCTGCCTTTTTTTAATTGTAGATCTAGTTTTACTTTTGTACTTGGTCTTCATTTCTAACCACCCTAAAGTTGCTTTGGAGAAATTACCTTCATTCATGTCACATACTGCTCTTGATGAAGTTTGATAATGCACAAAATAATATCTCAATTGATTCTCAATGGCCTACATATATAGGTCAGTTCGATGGACATAATGGCTATCAAGCACTTGATTTCGAAGCTTTCTTCACCATTAATTTGTTTTTCCCATTATTAAGATTTACGAGGGGTTTTAAGGTGCTTTTTGCAGACACCCTCTTCGTGTAATTATCAGAAGGGGAAGTGTAAAATATTAGACTAAGGTTAGTTGAAGATGTAATAGATGTCTTAGCCACTTTGTTAATGTTTCAATTTTCTATTGGTCAGATGTGGCTGAAACATTAGTAATTGATGTTATAAAATGATTAGAAAGTAGAACTTTCTTTTCCTTTGGTGGGTGATTAGATAGTAGCAGATACTAATTTGTTATAATCAGGATAGGCTTTATTCAAGTCACAAGCTAGTATTTTCTGGCAGATGGAGCCTTATAGCTCAATTTTCTTTTCAGAAAAGTTCGGTTAAAAAAAGAGAGTAATTACAGTCACAAAGATAAATAAATTAAAAAAGAAATAGATAATGGCTGATGAATTGACTTGTAGTTGTAGGAACCTTCATTTATCTTATTTTGTTTTTGTTTTTTTCCCTTTTCCTAGATTATATATTGAACGTGTAGCTAAAAGGTGCATGTGTTGCTTCATATAAGCAATAATGGTGCATGTGTTAGGGAGGAAGTTTTCACCAGAAATGCTTTGGGGATACTCAAAAAGAATTATTAAATTTTTCATGTAAGAAAAGGGAATTTTGTCTGAGAAATAAAATAAGTTTTGTGATAATGTGGGACCAGTATATACCTGTGCTTTGTATGAAAAGAGAGGTTTGGTGTAGAAAACCACCATTTTCGCGTTTCTACCTTTGTATTTTGGTGCAATTGGTGTAACTACTAAGTGCTAACAAAGCAAAATGTCGCTAGCCAAGTTAATTTCAGCCTAATCTAAGTTAGTTACGCATAAGAATAAGAACTGGACAATAGGAAGATATTATCCTATTAGGGGCAAACTCCACTAGGGGAATTCTTATCTTCAAATTAGTGGATGTGGAAGTATAAAATTCGACACAGAGGAAGATAAGTGATGCTTCTCACATTGCTACAAGCCTCAGTTCCTCACATTTTCATCCATGAAGAAGTATGTATGGCTTTCAAATTTGAAATGTTCACGTAGGATTCAATGGTCATATCTTACTTAATAGCTCAACTTTTTACTACATCATCAATTTGTCACAGGGTCAAGTTTTAATTAAATCCTTCACTTCCTGTTTTCTCAAGGCAGTACATTATGTTGTTCTCTTATGCATTCATTTTGACTACACACCATTTAATTATTCTTAAACTTCTTTCTTCACATGTTTGATACAATACTCCTTAGAAGCCTTTTACAATCAAGTTACCAATACAACTACAAATATTTTCCCTTTTAATCTTACTATTCTTTCATCAATAATTTAATCAGTTTTATTTCTCTATAAACTTTACCTCTTTTCTTATCAACATTTATCAATGTTTTTTTTCCTCAAACATCAATCAACATTAAAAGCTTAACTTTCTAATTCTTCTTAACATTTAAACATCAGTACCAAAAATGTCTCTTTCTAATTCTTCTTAACATTCAGCTTCTTTGCCATACTTTACATTCATTAAACACTTTTACCATCAACTCTTAGTCTAACTTTAATTTTTATTAACAATGTAGTTTTAACACCATTTACCATACTTTTTCTTAGTAACTACTCTTCTCTATTTGTATTTTAAAATAATATACCAATACATGTGATATTTAATTTTTTTAACGGGCCACACGATTAGATCTAAAAGCAATAAAATCATGAAACCTTATAATGCAATTTGTTAAAAAGTTGCTTGTTAAATTTACAGCTCCTAGTAATCTACATAAATTGACAAAGAGAATATTAATAGTTAATATCCTTTTCATTTAATTCTAGAAAAAAAATCCTATTATATATATATATATATATATATATATATATATATATATATATATGTGTGTGTAATTAAATTACACTTTTGATCTCTTTACAATCTTTATCCACTATTTTGGTTCCACTCTTTTTTTAATTATACAATTATATATATATATATATATAGTTTGATATACCAAGTTTATAATGATTAAATGTGTTTTCATTTGCAACATATTATTTATATGTATTCTTTTAAAATTCAATACCAATAACATAATTTTTCTCTTTGCTTAAATATCAAAAAATTACTCGAGCATAAACGAACATTAGGAAAAAAAAAAAAAAAGGTCATACAACTCTTGATCATATATAAAAGCATGATATTATTTTTTACAAGCACAATAATGACATATTAGTAATATTAATCATAGTTTTTTTTTTATATTTTAAATTTCATTTCTTAAAATTTTATAATTCAATAATGATATTTTACGTATTTGAAAATTATATTTCTAAAACTTTCTGACACCTCTGTTATGCAGGGCTTTATATCTAGTTTGGCCCAATCTTAACCCAATTCAAAAGCTCATCGGTGTGATAGCCTTCATAGTCGAATACTACTTGTATCCTTCAAAATTTATTAATTTAAAGAGTAAAAACATAAACGTTTGTTTCTGTTAGACAAAGTTGAATCAGAAATTGGGAGAATTAGAGAATTTGACACATTTATTTGGAAGCATCACCATATTTTGCAAGTTGTTGATATCTTTAAACACTAATGTCTGCATTACTGCTAACCTAGACTCTAAACTGTGCTAATTTTCATCGAGATGTTACAAAAGTATGCGTAGTAATTGTATGTACTAGAAAAGTGCAACGCAAAAATGTGTTTAGCAGTGAATCAGGATTAATTAATTTAATCTCCTTAGTCGATTTTTTTTATAATGAGATATATTACTGACGAACATGGTCTACATATATTTCAAACATTTTGCAAATAAATCACCAATAGTGAAAAGTAGCAAGTCTGATTTTATTTTATTCTTTTGACTGAAAAACACGTTACATCACATGCATTCTCGTTGTCCAGAAAGTTGTCAACAAGTTACTGCATTTTAAAGCATGTTTTATATTTTCGTCAGTACTACCAGAAGAGTGAGAAGGGAAGCTTGAGTTTGGTATCCTCCAGCAGGAGCAGCATTTTAATCTTAATTAAGCTGGTGATTATCCGAAAGCTTAATTAAACAAACCCCGAAAAAACAAAAAGAAAAAAATTGGTGAAACAAGGAGAAAAGGTTAACCTTAAAAGTCATTTAGTAGAGTGAAAAAAGAGGTCTAGTGACTAGTGGCACACAGGCTAGGGTAAGCATGTATTTGAAAGGTTAATTCAAGTCAACTATTACTGTCCCATTTTAAACAGCTATATTATATATACCTTAAAAAAAAACAGCTATATTATATTCTCTGTCCTTAATAATTCTGGATAATAGAGAGGCTCTCCTTTTAATACAGAAATTATTACCAAAAAAGAACAAAGGAGGACTTTTCAATTAAACTACAGCTAAATTGAATAAAAGGAAATATAGGAGTATTTTATTGGTCCTCTAATAGTGGTGTTCTATTATCGACATTGGTGAATAGTAAAGATCAAAATGAAGAAGTGAAAGGTGGGACACGTGATTGGTGTGTTGGGACTAACTAGGTTACTGGGCCAGTCCAATGGGCTGTTTTAGAGGTTTAATTGGGTCCAGAGTAGAGTAAAAATGTTCGAAGAAGGAGTTGGAAGAATATATGGGATCAAACTGGAAAATCAAATCAAGTCACCTTTCAAAACGAGGGCTCCTTTCTCAGGATTCAGGAATATGCCAACTAGACAGGGATTTACAGCCAAACTTATATCAGGTTTAGATGCTGATCAAACAAAATATCAGGCCTGAATTAGATTAAACTCTTTTAAATTTTTTACTTTTTATAAAAAAATCGTTTTGATTTTTTTTTTTTACGTGTGTATTTATGTTATTACTTTAAAAAAAAAATCAATCTTTGATGTAACATCCAATTCGTTCACCTTATTGTATAGTCTCTATAAAATAATTAACTTTTAATATACTTCTCTCTTATATTGATTTTTTTTTTTCATTTTTGTTCTTAGTTTTTGGTTGATATTTAACTATCTTATTTTAAATAAAGTGTAGAGAATAAAATCTTATTTAACTATCTCGAATACTACAGCCTCAAAGCAGTGACATTTTTATTTTAATAGCTTATATGGGCCACAGCAACAAGCAACAACTAAAGCCCTTACCCGAATAATTTTGCAACATTGAAGAGTGCAGATTTCATACATATCAGCCTAATACATATCAGAAAAACGCGTGAAATCATGGCAAGGGGTGGTGAAATGTCACAAAGGATAATAACATTATATCCTGCTAAATTATTTTCTTAATTCTTCAAGCCTTATGGGGCATGTTCTTCAGCCATTATTCTAGTGGCCTCCCAACTGAGTACACTATGAATCCAATACCCCTCAGCTTGTCAACATTCAATATGTTTCTACCATCAAAAACAAATGCTGGTTTCTGCATATTCTCATACACTCTTTCATACTCAGTTTTGACTCCCTCCTTGAGTATTCTGGGGTTTTTGAGCAGTGTTCTGCCCTAGAAATC